GAGTTTGAAGGTGGGCGCGGCGCGGGGGGGGGGAGGGGGGGGGGGGGGGAGTCAGCACTGTGGGGAGATCCTGGGGTCAATGAGGAGAGCTCCTGAAGGAACCCACTGAGGAAGGGGAATGTTCCCTGCAGCAGTCATATTACAAGGGGTCCCTGGAGTTCCCCCAGGAAGGGAGAGGTGGGTCTGTGCAATGGGAGCCAACCTGTACCCCCCTCCCCCAGCCAGACTGTGGGTTCATGGGGCTTACCCAGTGATGCCCTCCCTGCTGTGTGTGTGTGCACACAGTGGGGGGCGGGGTGCCCCAGACAGGTAACTGGATTTATGGGGTTATAAAGGCACCAGGCAAGTGCGCGTGGCCCCGTTCCCACCCCGCCCCGTGGGAGCCGGGCAGATAAGGGACAGTAAATGCCCCAGGAAGAGTGTAAAGATGCATGTGGGTCCCGTGGGAACGGGCTTCCAGTTAGGCGGGGGCAGGGGAGGGGTGGGTACCTGGTGCACAGCACGTCTTCATGCAGGCTGCCCTGGCACCGCTGGCACTGGGTCCAGAGCCGGGCAAACTTCTCTTCCAGTGAAGAAAGATGGGAGATCTGGAACAGGGAGAGAGGGGGCCATCACTTTTGCACTCCTGCCCCCACACCCTGAGCCTCTCCAGCACAGCTGGGAGAGAACCCAGGCATCCAGGCTCCCAAACCCCCTTGCTCTAACCCACCAGCCCCCACTCCCCTCTCAGAGTTGGGGGAGAACCCAGGCGTCCTAGGGTAGAGCCCAGATGCCCCGGCTTCCAACCCTCCTACTCTAACCCACCAAACCCCGCTTTCCTCCCGAAAGTGGGGTAACACCTAGTTGCCCTGGCTCCCAACCCCCTACTCCACCCCATCAGACCCCACCCCCGTTCCAGATCTAGGAGAGAACTCAGGGGTCTGGGCTCCTCAGCTCTAACCTACCAGCCCCCTCTCCTCTCCCAGATCAGGGCCCGAACCAAGGCATCCTTAGCTCACAAGGGAATCCCTGCCCTCAAGCCCTGCAGCAGTGTCACCTGCCCCTTCCCACTCACCTCCTTCTGGTACAGCTCAGACTGCCGGTCCAGGCAGAACTTGCACACCGCACCTGTGAGGGAGGTTGGATCAGGGGAGAAGGATCCTCTCACCACTGCCCCCCCAAACTTAGTCAAAGCCCCCCACACTGTGATTTAGAGACTTCCTACCCCTACCAGACCCCCCTCATCCACACTCATGGGGAGCCTCCCCACACATGCCTGCATTCTGCCCCCACCCTACACCTCAGCCCCACTAGGGGCCAGGGCCTGGGATGGGGAGGGGGAGTCAGAGGTTGCATGGGCTGGGGGTGGAGGGAGGGGTTATGGAGGGAGTTTTGAGAAGCAGCACTGGGTTTTTCTCCAGTTACAAAACCCCAGAGACACCTCCCCCCCACCCCAAGAGGAACTTGCGCCACTTGCTACCCCGGAACAGGGTGCTGCCACCCTCCCTGCCCCCCACCACTCCCCCGCACACACATTGAGGGGTTGGGAGGCGACATATGGACACTTGCTTTGGAGGGCAGCAGGGTCAGCTAGGGAGGAGCACTTCCAGGAGGGGCAGGGTGATGGGGGCAGGAGCAGGGCAGCTGAAGGCACTCACCATGGTGGGGCAGGACAGCCCGGCAGCCGATGCAGGTGCTGCGCTTGGTGGCAAAAGCCATGAGCCCCCCCACCTTGGAGGTGAGGACTGTCTTGCAGCGTGTGTGCTCCCCCTCTGTGGGGAAAGGTGCTGGTCACGGATAGCACAGCCCCCCCCACAACACGCACACACACAGCTCCCCTCAGTCTCACATGTACAGTTTCCCTTTCCCACACACACCTGCACATGTGCACACAGAATTCTCCTTCCCAGCACATGCACACACAAGTACCACTTCCCACATTCGCACGCACACACTCAGGGCTATGTCCAAGCCCTCCCCCGCCACCAGCCCCCAAGAGAGCTGCCCCCTTCCCCTCCCCCTCAGCTCAGACCCCCTGCCCCCCCAGGGCAGGAAGAAAGGGAGTTGAGGCAACTCACTGAGCAGGACACTCTCGGCCTTGCCCTCTCCCAGGATGGGCTCAAAGATGCGTAACAGGGGCTTGGCAAGCTGCTGCTCCAGGTAGTACTGTGTGTCGATTGGGATGTTGTTCTCCAGCACATAGATGGGGTCCTAGAGGAAACAGGGCAGAGGAAGGGCAGGGAGCACTGTGCATCTCCAGGGTTTGAAGCACCCATGGGTGTGGTCGTGAAGGGTCCCCCAACATTCCCCCCAGCCCAAGTACCCCAAAATCCCTCAGCCCTCCAAAGCGCTACTTACCTGCAACCCCCCAGGCCCCTCATCTTCCCAGAGCCTATCCTCAAATCCCCCAGACCACCAACACCCCCCCCACATCCCCCTGAACTCCATCCCAAATCTCCCAGCCTCTCCAAAGCCCAAAAGCCACCTGCCCCCCATATACCTGCACTCCCTACATTCCCCCGCAGAAGACCCAAGAGCTCTATTCTCCTCCCCAACCCCCTGCGGCCCCCACCTCGGATTTCATGTAGGCTGCCACCCCCTTGGCAGCGCTGATGATGACATAGGGCACCCGGTCGCCCAGGTTGGGGGCACTGCCAGGGTCCCGTCGCCGCATCCTGGAAAGAGGTGGGGGAAGGAGAAGGAGCTGAGGGCTGCAGATGTGTCGAGAGTGAGGGGCACTAGTAGGGGTGGGCAGGGGGCAGCACGTTGGGAGTGAGGGGAACCAGAAGGGCTGGGCCAAAGGGCCTGGGCAGGGGGCTACACGTCAGATGTGAGGGGCCTCAGCAGGGCTGGGGGGAGTGGCAGCGGACGCGGGGGTGGCTCTTGCTAATGCTGTGGATTATTTTAGCTCCCCATTAGCATATTTTCCCCCCAGCAAAGGCAGGGCTGGAGGAAACTCTGCGCCTGCGGGTGCCCCTCGCCCGCCCGCCTGCCCATCCCCGGGGACCCGGCACTTCCGCGCAAGTGTTTATCATGGCTGCAAGCAGATAAGCACATGCACTGGCTGTTACCTGCTGGGGAGGGTGGGGGACTGAGAGGGTCCTTGCCAGGGACAGCTCACACTGAAGTTCTAGGCAGTTGGGTCATGAGTGAGGGACACTGGCAGGGCTCGAGTGGGAGGGCAGGGAGCTGTGGGTCAGGAGTAAGGGGCACCAGCAGGGCTGGGGAGAGCAGGGGGCTTAGTAGTCACGGGGAGCAGTAGGTTTAGGAGGCAGGGGGCTGCAGGTCAGGAGTGAGGAACACTGGCATGGCTGGGAGGGCAGGTGGGAAACAGGACAGATGCCAGCGCCACCCCACCCCCACCCTGGGGCCCACAGGAAGCAGTGCGGGAGAGGCTGTTTCCAGGGGGCGGCACCACAACAGCTGGGCTGGTGAGGCTATTTCTGCCTTTCCCACGGGTCATGCCTGGCTGCACCCCCTGCCCCACAGAAACGCCCCCAGAGGGGGCAGGGTAGGAACCATGCTGTGGAGGTGGGGAAACCTGACCATTGCCTCCATTAGCCAGCCCGTCCCAACTGCATTCCCCTCTGCACTCCCACCCCAGTTCCATTCACTCTCCTACCCAAGCCCACCCTCTTCCACCCACAACCAAGCCAGGCCCCCACACCATCCCTACCTCTGGGCCAGCTCCACGTGGGCCTGGTGGCCAGTGTACTCATGCGCTGTGCGGGTCAGCTCCTTGGTGATCACCAGTTGGGAGATGTCCACCCGGTTACACAACAGATCCGAGATCACCTCCTTGGCATGGGCTACTGCACCTGCCGGGTCCCTGCCGTGCACAGCCCCCACCCCCAATCAGCCCCAGATGCCAGGGCACTACCCCAGTGCCAGGAAGCCTGAGGTCTCTCCCACGTCTGGGAGGGGAGTGTGGTCTGGTGGGTTTGAGCAAGGGGGATACAGAACCAGGGTGTCCTGGCTCCTCCCAGTTTTGGGAAGGGGGGGCACTGGGTTAGAATGGGGTGATGGAAGCCCAAACACCCGAGTTCTCTCCCAGGTCTGGTGGCTTAGAGCAGGGGGGCTGGGAGCCAGGACTCCTGGGAACAGGGTGAGGTGACAGAGCAGGGTACAGCAGAGCAGTGGGTGCTGGGAGCCGACACCTGGGTTCTGTCCTAGCTCTTGTAGGGCCAGGGGTTCTAGCAGGTTGCACAGCAGGCTCTGTGCCATGCTGAGATTACATGACTCTGGTTCCATCATGGGACTTTACTGGGGGCGCTCCCTGATGGTCTGGGGTTGGGGGTATAGGCCCAGCCCAGAGGTCTGGCCCACCTGTCAATGAGGAGCTTCTGCAGGCAGGTGCTAATGAGGTTGGCCACCAAGGGGCAGTTGTCACGGCGCACGGTCTCGATGCCCTTGCAGTCCATCTTGTCATGCACCTGGGCGCTGGACGAGAAGTACAGCCCCGCATAGCGCTTCTTGCTGATCAGCAGGTAGGGGAAGTACACCTGAGGTTGGAGGACATGGGGTGAGCCCTGCCCAGCCCCGCCCCTGGTATCCCCCCAGCCCCCAACACACAGGGGTCTTCCTGCAAAGAAGCCAAGCCCCTCCAGCTCCCCTCACTTTCTCAAACTCCAGCTTGATGGGGGGCGTGAAGTGGCTGGAAACCCAGGCGGCCGCCTCCCGCCCAATCTCCATGGCCTCGGCCACCGATGCCACGCCAAGGCGACACATCACTGAGTCCGTGTCTCCATACACCACCTGGGGTAGGGGGAGAAGGGTCATCTGGGGCCCCCCCAGCCCTGCCCTCCCTTCCCCCAGGGCCTGGCTTGGAGGCCCCATCCCATGCAATGCCCCTCACCTTGGCATCAGCACAGTACCCATTAGCAATGGTGTATTTGGACTCCACCAGCTGCTTAGTCTTTTCAATCATCTGGCGCCCAAAACCGGTCACGCTCTGGAGAAGAGAATCAGGGTGGAGGCGGGCAGCCAGGCACACCAGCCCCAGTAATATCCTCCTAACCAGTGTTCCCTCTAAGCTGTGTGGTGTGCATGGCCGTGCAGACGCGCTCATGCAGTACTGCTAAGCATGCATGTTAGAAGGAACACTGCCCCAAACTTCCATCCCAGAGTCTCCTCAACCCTGCTGGTGCCCCTCACTCTTGACCCACAGCTGCCCTGCTCCCCCCATCCTGTTGGTGTCCCTCACTCCCAACATGTATACCCCTGCCCCACTGTCCTGCCAGTACCCCTCATTCCTAACTCACAGCCCCCTGCTCCCACAACACTACCAGTGCCCCTTACTCCTGACCTGTAGCCCCCGACCTCACCTCCCCCTGCCGATGCCCCTCACTCTCACCCCATACTCCCCTCACCCTGAGCTTCCCCCTTCCACTATAGCACCATGGCTAGCGCACACCCCCAGTCCATTCCAAAGGGAATAATCTGTGTTTGCCCACACACAAAGGGCCCCTGTTCTGGTGCCCACAGTCCACCCCACCCCATGATATGGAGATGCCATCCTGGCAGAGAGCTGGGTGGGGCTGGACACCCACAACCCATCCCTACCCCCCCCCCCCCATCAGTGATTATGCTTGGGCTAGCAGGCCTGGAGGCTCTGCCAGCAGATTCACTTGACACCATGATTGCTACCCTGCTGCTACCTGGCCTCTAAATAATCACCCCTCGGTGCACCCCACCCCACCCCAGAGGGGGCTGCATCTCAGTGCTGGGCAAGGCGGCCCTGTATAACCAGCCCCCCCACAACAAACTGCCTCACCCCAGAGGTAGCTGCATCTCAGCACTGGGTGAGAGTTCCCTGTATCACAGCCTCACCCTGCTCCATCAGGCAATGAAGAGCTTGTTTTAGCCTCATAGGTCAGAGCTTATGCTCACTCCATGGTCACTGGGAAGTCCAGGGCAAGAGTGGGGCACAGAAGGAAGGAGGAGAGGGTTTCTCAGACGGTCTCTTCTCTCCCGCAAAAGTTGAGGAAGTGCCAGGAAAACCCCTGGGCCACGGCTGGAGCCCAAAAAGTCCCCAGGTACCTCTGCCTGGGCACACAATGGGACCCACACAGTGCCAGCCCCACCTGCCCACCTGCCCATCCTCTGGGGAAAATCCAGCTGCTCCGATGTCCCAGCATGGGGGAAGTGGGAGACCAGGAAGGGCCTGAGATGGCCCTCATCTCTCACCTGGGAGATCTCCAGGCAGGGCAGCTTGCCCACCTGGGCTCCAGTGAAGCCATACACGGAGTTGGCGCTGACCTTGAGTGCCAGCTGCCGCCCATCCAGCACCTGGCGCTTGAAGGGGTCTGTCTCACGCTGCAGCTCGGCCTTAGCCCTACCAAGACCAATGGGGAGGAAGGGGTATCAGCAGGCCGGGTCATCCCCACTCCAGGCCCAACCCACTTTGGGCCCCCCCGCAGCCTGTACTCGCAGGCCCAGGGGCAGAGTGGAGGCATGCCACGCCCATCACCTCTTGCGGGCAGCCAGCAGGCTCTCCAGGATTTCAGGGAGCAGCCCCTTGCGCATCGAGGCCTTAACGAAGAGGTCGCCCGTTGGGGTGCGGATGAAGTCTTCGGAAGCCAAGCTGGGTGTGGGGATGAGGGGGAGCTCACTGAGACAACCGACCATGAAGCCCACCCCTGCAAGCCCCTCCTGTACCCTCCTCCTAGCCTCCATCCCCATCAGAGGGTGACCCCAGTCCCAACCCCCCTGCTGTGGTTGAGGGCACCTATCCTCCACCCTCTCTGCCCCACCCCCAGTCCCACTCACCCATAGCGCTCTGGCACCCCTGTCTGCAGCAGGGTGGTGTAGCAGAGGTTGTGGGCCATCATGATGGATGGGTACAGGGAGGAAAAGTCTAGCGTGGCAATAGGCATATCATAATACCTGGGGGGCACATGGGGAGGGGGGGGTCACCACCTCTGCCCCCCCCCCCAACAGCTCCCTTCTAGGCACTGCCACCACCACCCCCATTCCCTTGTGGGACTTGTCCCACCCCCCCCAGTCCCACTAGCTCCCCCTGCCATCCAAGCCTTAATCCTGCTATCTCCTACCCTCACCACCTACACCCCATGCCACCCAGACATGCCCTCCTTTGCCCTCCTGCCCTCCCTTTGCCTTCTACCCATCCCTTAAGCCACCCAGTCCTCCACAAGCCCCTGCCCTCATCCCTGCCCCCCCAACAGCCCTTTATAGCCCCCTCTTCAGCCAATCCCCCAAAGCCCCACTGCTGCCTGCCAGCCCGCCAGCTCACCCCTTCAGTGGCTCAATAACAGTGGCGCCTGCATAGTCTTCACCCCCTTCCGATTTCACCACAGGCATCACTAGGTCCTGCTTCATGGCCTATGAAAAGAGGTGGGGGCGAGGGTCAGACAAGAGGGCACCTGCCCCCACCCCCTCCCTCCCAAACTTTGTCCCATGTGACAAGGCACTGCCGAGGCTCATGCCTGCTGCCCAGGGCGGGGCCCACCTGGCGCAGGAGCTGCGACACCACCTTGACCTGCTGGCCACGGGCAAGCAAGTAGCCAAGGGGAACGCCAGTGACCCGGGCCATCTCCATGTAGTTGATGACACACATCAGCTTCTCCAGCAGCCGCAAGGGCAGGTAGGCGTCTTTCAGGCAGTACACGGCCAAGCGGCGCCGGGTCTGGTCCGTCCCATTCTGAGGAGGGAAATGGAGTAGGGGGTACATTGGGCTGGCAGGGCACGGATGATGCAATCTGCTCTGGGGACAGGGCCCCACAGGAAAGCCTTGGTTGGTGGGGACAACAGCAGGCCTGAGTGAGATGCCCCCTTGTGGTGGTGGAAATGGGACCAAGAGAGGAAGGGGAGTCCTGTTAGGGTGGGGGCAGGCAGAGGTCAGTCCAGTGGTTTCCTTGGGGGA